CCCGTCTAAGGGGGGCGGTGGCTCGGGCCGCGGTTGCCGGGGTGACGGGGAAGGGTTGATGTTCACCGGAACGGGGCGCGGTTGTCAGGGTGACCGCGGGCCCGGCGCAGGCTGACGGGAGGCCTCCGGCCGTTGCCGTGGCGACGCCGAGCCGCTGACGGTTGCCAGGGTAACGAGGGCGCCTTCAGGGGGAGGGGCGAGAGGGGAGGCGTCGGGGCGGGGGGGGGCGGCTCCTGAAGCGAGCCAACGCGTGGATTGGGCAGAGTCCAGTGATTGAACCAATAGAAGCTTGTCACTAAGTATAGGCCCACCCCCCCTCCAAATGGAGCCAATCCGGATGCGCCTTTCTTCCGCTCCACTTGACCATCTCCTTGGGCCAGAGTGGGGGTCCTAGTCTCAGGTTCGGTTCATTCATAGCCTCCCTGCCTCACCCACTCATTCATTCGCTCATTCCCCCATGGGTCACTCCGGTCCTGCTCCCAGCTGGCCTCGCCGTCGGGGGACGGGACAGGCCCTGCCCGCAGTGGTCAGAGTCCCCCGGGAACGAGCACCTGCGGGCCCCGAGGCTGCCTGGAGGAGGCAGCGGGACCGAGACAAAAGACGCCAACTGGGCTCGGGGTGTGCGCAGCAAGTACAGAGGCCCTGGGCTCCATCCCCAGTACCGAAAAGGAAGAGACCAAAAAAATACCGGTACACAACAACTGTGCTCCACCCCAAGGAAGCCTTCTCCGTAAGCAACCAGCCGGGCTCCGTGGCCATATCTGCCATCCTAGCCACTCAGGAGGCTGAGATCGGAGCCAGCCCAGGACTAACAAGAGTCTCTGTGAGTCTCCAGTTAACAGCAAACGGGATGGAAGTGGAGCTGTGGCTCAAGTGGTAGAGTGCCAGCTTTGATGGAAAAAGCCAAAGCCAGAGCACCAGGCCCTGCGTCCGAGCCTCGATCCCGAAAATAAACAAATACATAAATACACACACACACACACACACACAAGGTCCCAGAGCTCCTGGAGGAGGCCGTGGGAGCCTCAAGGGGGCCATGTGAACTCTTTGGGGATGTGGCTCCCGGGAGACAAGAAGACAGGACTTTTATTCCGAGGGAAGGCTGACAAACTAATCCAGTCGGGTCCCCTGCTAGAATCCTCCCAGGACTTCCAGACCCTTTGGCCCTGTGGGACTCAGCCTGACCTCTCCCTCCTCCCCCACCACATCCAGGCCACACCCCCCCACAACCTCCTTGGTTTCCTTTTATCCATCTTCCCCTCTGGGTGTCCTCCATTGCTGTTCTCTGCCTGGACCTCCCTTCCCCTGCCTCCCTGTCTTCCTGCTTCCTCTCCCAATTTTAAGTCTCAGCTGTAATGCTCCTCACAGAGACAGGTTCGGGAAACTGCACACTGAAGTTCCTCCCTCCTGCCCTGTCCTGTCTTGTCATTTCAACCCAGTGCTGGGGACTGAAAGCCAGGGCTCAATTGCATTAAAAAGCACTGTTTTTTTGGTATGTGTGTGCCAGTTCTGGGGCTTGAACTCAGGGCCTGGGCACTGTCTCTGAGGTTTGTTTGTTTGTTTGCTCAAGGCTGCTGCTCTACCACTTGAGCGACAGCTCCACTTCTGGCCTTTTTGCTAGTTAACTGGAGACAAGAGTCTCAATGACTTTCCTGACGGAGCTGTCTTTGCACAGTGATCCTCAGATCTCAGCCTCCGAAGTTGCTAAGATTATAGGCATGAGCCACCAGCACCTTGTCTTATTTCTTGTCTATATCCCTTCAGAGGAAATGGTTTTGTCACCTCTATCTGCAAGTTAGGGTGCCAAGTAAGGTTTTTTTGCTTGTTTTTTTTTTCCTTGTCAATTGTGGTGCTTGAACTCAGGGCCTGGGCACTGTCCCTAAGATTCTTTGTGCTCAAGGCTAGCACTCTATCACTGGAGCCACAGTGCCACTGCCAATGTTTGAGTGGTTTATTGGAGATGAGAGTCTCACAGGAGCTTTTTTGCCCAGGCTGGCTTTGAACCAAAATCCTCAGATCTCAGCCTCCTGAGTAGCTAGGATGACAGGCGGGAGCCACCAGCACCCGGCTTCAGGAGATGAGACTCATCTCCATTTAGCACCAAAAAGCTGGAGCTGGAGCTGTGTTTCAAGTGATAGAGCGCTAGCCTTGAGCAGAAATCTAAGGGAACAATGCTTAGGCCCAGACTTCAAGCCCCAGTATCACACACACACACACACAAACACACACACACATACACCTCTGGGTGTAGAGGCTGGATACTGACAATCAAAGAGGAGAAGATGCACAAGTGGGCAGCAGACAGTGCCACTCTCTGTGGCAAAGAGCCACGGAGCCCATGGTGGGGGGGGGACGATCTTCAAGCATCAGACACAGCAGCAGGCCTGGGGGTTCCCAGATCCCACGCCCCGAGCCCCGCCACGCCCCGTGCCTCACTGGGTCCCACGGAGCTCCTCAGCCCCTGCCTGGATGAGAGGATCTCATCCCAACTTCCGCTCCCCGCTGTCTGCCCGGGGCAGGGGCTCAGGTTCCCTGTCAGCACGCAGGCAGCTGCATCTTGGCCTGGCCCCAGGCCCCACGTCCCCGAGGGACTGAGCTCATGGAAGAGAAATGTAGGCCTGGGCCAAGTGTGGAGCCGGAGCAGGGGAAGGGGCGCGCGTCCAAACCCATCACATCGGAGATGCGAAACCGTGGGAACCACTACCCGGATGGTTCCGCCCTGGGGGGGGAGAGGGGGGGCATCGGGGTCCTTTGGGCCAGTCCCTCCTTGGAAACTGGAGGTCGGGGAGGACAGCAGAGGCTCGGAGCAGGAGCCCCGCCTTCCGCTGAGCACCAAGCTCTGTAGCTGCATCCTATAGTTTCTACCTCTCATGCCACCCACAGTCTGCTTTTTGAGCTGGAACCAAACTGCTCTGTGTGTGTGTGTGCGTGTGCGTGTGTGTGTGTGCGTGTGTGTGTGTGTGTGTGTGCGCGCGCGAGCGCCCACATGCACACACACATGCCAGTCCTGGGCTTGAACTCTGAGTTTTTTTTATTTACTTTTGCCCACTTGGGCCACGGCTCCATTGCTGGCTTTTGGGATGGTTCACTGCAGGTGAGGGTCTCAAAAACTATTCTGCCCGGGCTGGGCTTACCTCTGTAATCCCCAGATCTCAGCCTTCTGAGGAGCTGGGATTAAAGGCGTGAGCTACAGTCCCCTTCCCCACCTCTCCCCCCTGCCTGCCACTGGCCCCTTTGCTCTTCTTAAAAGAATTTCAACAGGTTCCAGGGATCACTACTGGGCATGCACAGAAAGTCCTCTCCCCGCGTTCACCGCCATTCAACTTCTCCACCCTCCCATATCCCACAGCCCAGGGATGACGGGCTGTGGACTCAGGCACAGACCCCATTTGGACTGGTGCCTAGGAAAACGGATGTCCAAGTTCCTTGGTCGCTTATCCTTGAAGAGGAGCGCAGCGCCCCTTCAGCAGCCTCTCAGGGAGAACTCTGGAAAAATCTGGTCTTCCCCAGTGGGTTCCAGCCACAGATTCTTCTCAGGATGCCACGGCCCCAGGGGCTGGCACTGAAGAAGGTGGCTTAGGCCAATGCCAGTGGCTCATTCCTGGCCTCCCAGCCGCTCAGGAGGTGGACGGTCTGAGGAGTGTGGTTCAAAGCCAGCCCGGGCAGGAAAGTCCGGGAGACTCTTCTCACGAATTAATCACCAACAAGCAAAAAAAAAAAAAAAAAAAAGTGGCTTGTGGCTCGAGTGGTAACAGTGCTAGCCTTGAACAAAAGAAGCTCCTCAGGGACAGCGCCAGGCTTGAGTTCAAGCCCAGGACACTCTCTCTCTCTCTCTCTCTCTCTCTCTCTCTCACACACACACACACACACACACACACAGTGGTTTGGTTCATGGCTCTCATAGCATTTCTTATTTATTTTCTAGTGCTCTACCATTAAACCACAGTGTCACTTCCTCCTTGCATTCTTCTCCCCCCCCCACCCTCCTCCTTCTTCTTTGGTCAGTTGTAGGGCTTGAACTTGGGGCCTGGGTGCTGTCCCTGAGCTTTTCTGCTCAAAGCTAGCACTCTGCCACTTTGAGCCACAGTGCCATTTCTGGCTTTTTAGTGGGTAATTGGAGATGAGAGTCTCACGGGGACTTTTCTACCTGAGCTGGCCTCAAACCGCAGTCCTCATATCTCAGCCTCCTGAGTAGCTTGGATTACAGGGGCCCAGAATAGCATTTCTGCCGGGTGCCTGTAATCCTAGCTACTCAGGAGGCTGAGATCTGAAGATCGCGGTTCAAAGCCAGCCCGGGCAGGAACATCTGTGAGACTCTTATCTCCAATAAACCACTAGAAAACCGGAAGTGGTGCTGTGGCTCAAGCAGTAGAGCGCTCGCCTTGAGCTGAAGAGCACAGAGACAGCGCCCAAGCCCAGAGTTCAAGCCCCATGACTGACAAAAAAATAAAAACAGAATAGCGTTTCTTCTTAGCCTGGCCTCACATTCTAGTTACTCCCTGAGTTACCAAGCCCCATTGCATTCTGGGGATGCGGGGCCCCTCTGTCACGAACCCTCTAGCTTCCTGGGGTGGGTGGAGGGGAACAGAAGGATGCAGATTCTGGGCACTGTCAGCTTTTCCACTCAAGGCCAGTGCTCTACCACTCGAAGGAACAGTTCCACTTCTGGCTTTTGGTGGTGATTCCTTGGAGATGAGTCTTACAGCCCTTCCTCCCTGGACGGTCTTCAAACCAGGATCCTCAGATCTCAGGCTCCTGAGTGGCTAGGACTGGTTCCGACCATGTATCTTTGAACGTAACCTTTCTTTTTCAGTTCCTGCTCCAGGAGGAAGCCAAAGGGCCCTTTTGTTCCAGGCAGAGAGAGGAGCTTGGGCCAAGGCTTGGGAATCACAGGGGTTTGACCGAGGGGGATGGCAGGGGGAGGAGGGGGCTGGCGGGGGGAGGCCTGGAAGCCCGGGCGCTGGGGTTCCTTTCAGCCTGGCAGCACGGGCTGCGCCCGCGTCTCGCCCTCCTCACGGCCCATTGTCCCAGCAGCACACTCAGAGTGAGTAAGTGTGTGAGCAGCTTCTTACGCAACCTTTTTGCCTCTGCTGAAACTTCACACTCCTTCCGTCCCGCTCCCCGCGCTCCCTGAGGTGGGCTGGAGTCATGCAGATCCAGGTTGAATCCTCGGTTCTGGGCTGGGGGTGTGGCTTAGTGGCAGGGGCGTGGCCCCGCGCTTGGGGCGTGGCTTGTGCTGAGGGCGGAGCTCAGTGAAGGACGGGGGCTCAGCAGCAGGAGTTAATTGCTTAGTGGTGTGGCTGGCCCCTGCCTCAGAGGCAGGGGGCGTGGCTCAGAATGGAGGGAGGGGCTTAGCAATGGAAGGCGTGGTTTAGCAGTGGCGGGTGTGGCTTAGTGATGAGGCGCAACTCTGGGTTGTGGGCATGTCTGGGGGGGTGTGACAGTCGTGGGGGCGTGGCTTAGCTGTTGGGTGTGGCTCAGGGTGGAGGGAGGGGCTTATCAATGGAAGGCGTGGTTTAACAGTGGAGGGCGTGGCTTAGTGATAAGGCACGACTCTGGGTTGTGGGCATATCTCAGGGTGTGTGTGACAGTCGTGGGGGCGTGGCCTAGCTGTTGGGCGTGGCTGGGTGGGCGTGGCTCTGTGATTGAGTACTTGCCTTGGATGCCCGAGGCCCTGGGTTCCATCTCTGCACTGTCAAAACTAAGAAGCCAGAGGCTCACCCCTGTAATCCTAACTGCTCAGGAGGTGGAGATCTGAGGATCTTGGTTCGAAGGTAGACTGGGCAGAAAAATCTGTGAGTCCCTTATCTCGTTAGCCACCAAAAAGCTGGAAGTGGAGCTGTGGTTCAAGTGGTAGAGTGCCAGCCTTGAGCGACAAAAGCCAAGTGAGGGCTTAAGACAATCCCTGATAGGAGCACCAGGAAAAAAAAAGTGAAAGCTGGTCGTCTTGCTCAAGCTGTAGCAGGTATGTCCTAATACACTGGAGAGAGACCACTAGTGATGCTGCCAGGAATAAACAGCCTGAGCTTAACCACAGGAACCAGCAGGCCCTGAGCGGAGGGGATGGATAGCTTTTGAAATAATTGGCCTCACCTCTCCAAAAAAAAAAATAGTCAAAATTATGAAAGACAAAGTTGGAGAACTGAGATTGAATGAGATCAGGAGATCTGACAATTTAATTGCAACACATGATCCGAGATCAGACCCTGGATCGGAGAAGAAGCATACTATATATGATTATATTGCTGGAAGCAAGGGGGTGAACTTTGCATATGAACGGAGGGAGAGAAGCTGTAGGATACTTCTGCACATAAGTACCATGATGTGGGGGTGTTCTCACGAAACGCAGTGATGTGCCTGGAAGGAAAGAAATATCACTACTGGGGCTGTACTGGGGCTGGGAAGGTGGCTGGCTCAGTTACCACTTGCCTAGCATGCATGAGGCCCTGGGTTTGATTCCTCAGCAACACAGACACAGAAAAGGCTGGAAGTGGTGGTGTGGCTCAAGAGTGCTAGCTCTGAGCAAAAGAAGCTCAGGGACAGTGCCTAGGCCCTGAGTTCAAACCCCAGGACTTGGCGGGCCCTGTTGGCTTTGAACCGCGATCCTCAGATCTCAGCCTCCTGAGTAGCTAGGATGACAGGCCTGAGCCACGGGTGAGGGGGCTTTCTTCCTGGTTTTGCATCTGGGAGACCGGGGGCGGGGGAGTCTCTTGGACTGATGGCTTCTCAGCTAGACAGCTGTCCCGGCTGGAGTTGCGTCCAGGTAGGACCGAGTGCTGGGAAAAGCACTGGGCAGCTGGAGTGTGGCTGGGGCTCGGCCGCGTCTGTGAGATCCTCAGAGTAGAGAGGAGCGGGCTGCTGGGGGAGGAGGGTGCACACGGGCTTCCTGCAACCCCGGCCTCAGTGCAGGACTGGGAGCCGCTTTATTTATTTATTTCTTATGTTCTTTATTTTAGATTTTTCCCTGGGTTTTCTCGGGTGACTTGGTGGCTGCAATTGTGCTGTTGTTGTGGTTGTTTTGGGGGGTGGGGTGAGGGCGGCGACCCGGCCCTGGGGCTGCAGGGTGGGGTGCGCAGG